CAAACCCCATTTCCTCAAAAACGAAGCCTCGGATGAACACATCTATCGTCTACGTTTGCATAAGAAATCGCGTTGCGCGATTCTAATCAGAGCCTAACGCACACGGGGGTAAACTGTCCCAAAGAATACGATGCACTTACGAAGTTACTCCGGAGAAAGTGGCACTCTTAGCAAGTAGAACAAAAAATAAAAGGAAGAACGTTCAGCGATTTCCCTTTTCCGAGAGTGTCTCTAATGTATTGCACCCGTGGAATCGATTCTTACCGAACACATCGAACGAGAAGGAAGCACACTTGGAAACGGTAACGGGCTCTCAGGTTAGCTACACACTTCGATCGAACGTGACCAGTTTCATTGAAGAACACTGGGAAATCACTAACGATTCCAAAGCCAGACTTCCGCGTCTGTTAATTGGAAAAAGTATTCTCCTCGATCGGGAGGGATAAGCTTGATCTTATCAGGAAATTGACGCCTCTATTGGCCAACAGATAAAAACACACCGATCGATCCAAGTGTAACACACTTCGAGATAAAAATACAATTCTGTGTACAGGCTGATAGATACGCGAAACTATCGCGAATGTTACAAAACGAACGGGAAAATTTCAAGGTATCGCGAAGTTATCGCGTTCTTTTCAAATTTCTACGAAACGTTTCTTCGTTCACTCGGCTAAGGATTATCGCGTTCAACGGAGCGTACAGCTCTCCACGTTCTGTTACCTCGTTTTTGTCTCGTTTCATAATGAATTTTACCGCTAATTGACCTTCCAGGACGACGTTCGATTCGCGTCGCCGAGCGGCGACGTTGCGATCTCGATCGCGAGCTTGCGCGCGATCGGCTCACCTGGATCACACGCGACGCACAACGGATCGCGCGCGTTCCCTCTAAAGAACAGGACAATAAATTCCATGAAAGTTCGAGTTAACGCGGGTACGTTGACCTGTGCCGCGATCGATCGTGTATCTCGAGGTTGTGCAACTTAAAGGTGCACGCACACCGATCGTCGGAATCCTCCGTCGCGACGCGATCGATCGCGTGTTGCTTGCTTCGGTTGAATCTCGCGTCTGGTGCTCCGTTGTGAAATCGACCTACTCGCCTGGTAGTCGCCAGGAAATTTCCTTAATTTCGTTCTTGGCGATCGTTTAAGTGACTCGTGCGAGCGAGCGAAAGACTGAGCCTTTCAACTCTTCGCGGTCGTAGTTTCCGCAGGGATTTTAGCCGTACTGGTTGGAATTATTTTCTAGCACATAACGCGTGACAAGTCAATTATTTCCCAAAAACGTGTAAATTTTATTTAAATAACTTTGTTTAAGCTGTGTATTATTGTTTTTCTCCGTTTCTGGAGGCAAAGGGTGCACGGAGCGTTTAGGAGAAAACGCCTCGACATTTCAGCGAGTTCGACCGAAAAGAGTTAATTGGTGAACGAAATTCGTTTTGGAATTTTTTGGTAGCGCGCGATAAGTCAAATATTGGCCAAAAAACGTGTAAATTTTATTCGAACGAGTTTGTTTAAGCTGTGTATTACTTTTTTCCTATTCCTGGAGACAAAGGGTGCACAGAGCGCTTAGAAGGAATATCCGCGAATTCGACCTTAAAAGAGATTTATTTTAGAAATTTGTACAGATTGTGTCTGAAGTGATTCGCGAGTTTTAAGGAACACTTGTACAGTTACACTCGTCTATGTAAGAATTTGTGAGGGAAGTTCGAGCCGGTCGTTCGACCAAGTAGAATTTTCAGATTTATGTGGAAAAGTTCGGCGAGCGCAGTGGAATCCAGCGTGTGTGACTGCTGACGTTTCGTAAACATTGCGGCTCGCTGCCGAAAAATACAACGCCGTCGAAACTACCCGAAACGAAACTCGAACCTCGCGTGCAAGGATATCTTCTGTAAGTGAGAATTAAACGAAATTTTTCT